ATAAAAAAATTTTTTTTTTAATTTGGGGCCACCCAAAACCTGCGCGGGGGGGCTGAGCCCCACGAGCCCCCGGATCCGCCGTTGCAAGGTCTTTTGTTACTTAGTTAAAAGGTTATGAAACATACCTAGTTATTAAATTGAATGAATAATATAATAAAACAATAAATAATAATGATTATTATTATTAATATTAATTAATATTTGAATAATATACTAAATATTAAACAATATTAAATTATTCACGTTAAATATTTATTATTAATTATTTAATATTTAAAAAAAATAAAGAAAGCCAAAGAAGTATAACATCTTACGCGCGTACATAAGTACACGCACCCTTTTTTATATAATATGCAGATGTAATAAAACAATAAATTAATATTATAGTCTTTTCATTCTAACAAGTGGTATACAAGCGTGTTTATTAACTACACTAAGAGCACTTTAAAACTTTAAGTATTCAAGTTTAAAGTTTGTATCATAAAATGCAAAATAAACTGTTATTTGCAAGTGAAAAACGGCATATTTTCCTGCGGAATGGAGATCACAATTTTCTCGTCACTTAGATATTAAATTTATTCCTGCTATAGTACGACGTATATTAAAAAATGTCCGTTCCTCACTAATTCTCTATTAACTAACATATACTCTGAAGAAAACAATGTGAGAAATTAAACCAACCTGTTGCCCAGGCATGTATCGAAAGATTTCGTTGTTATCGCGGTACCATTTCACGGAGTGGAGGGCTGGATCCCCTCTCTCCTTGACGTAGTGGCAAGCGAGGTACGCGTCCCTCCGGGGGTCACCATATTGCGGTACCTCCAGGTACGTTATGTTATGGGCGGTGGCTATCACTGTAAAGAGATAACTTCACTGTAGTTAATTGTTTCACTCACAAAAATGTGCAGGTGGATAAAAAAAATAAAACTTTTGAACAATAATTAATTAAAACTCATTTTAAATATAATAACACGTATAGTTTACCTAGTATCAAATCATTTAATATAATACGGATGAATGGCGCCAAACACGCGGTCACAGATTATAACACACAGACTATAAAATTTGAAAAATGCCATAGACCACAGAAATTGCAAATCTAATAGAATAATTTTATTATGGAAACCTTTGACGTGTATCCTAATAAACACTATTAGAGTTCGGTTTAAGAAAGAAGTCCCACAGATGCGCTGTGATCGTGCGACGGAACGTCGCCAGCATCGATTAATTTCATCTCGCTAAAATTCTTGTGCAATACTATTCTATTTACAAATATAAAGTAAAAGTATAAAAATATAAAGTAAACTAAATAAAATAATTGAAGTAAAATTAATTTTTAATTATTTTTATTATTACCTACGTAGGTTAAGAAAACTGTTATGTTTAGGTTTTAATAAACGATTCAGTACTTCATAAAGTGAAAAGTAAATAAAAAATAGGTCATGGAATTTAAGATAGAAATGGGTACATAGGTTGAAAACACATATTTTAAGTTGAATATTTATTGCATAATTATGATAAATTATTTATGAGTTATTTCAGGCATACTGAATGCACGTCAGTGCCGTGATCTGACTCGAGTATCATTGTATGTTTTGTGGAAATTATAAATTGGTCCGTTTCTTTTTATGTAAAACTATAATTTTTATAATATTCATCTTCCAAATTCTACATTTTGACATTAAGTTCGCCAAAGTTAAATCTTAAATGTCATCTGCCATCAATTTTACAATTTCTTTAGGTTCTTGAATTTTTTTTCTCAACCACGCGACTTTTCACAAGGCTCTATATTTTTTCAGTTCGATTCAGGTCACAGTTATATGGAAATAATCATAAAATTTCATTCATTTTAAAAGTTCTTCTACTGTGTATATGCGTGGCCTAGTGGTGAAAATTTAATCAAATCATGATTTAGTGGTAATCAGAAGGTTCGGATTAGGACTTAAAATCTGTAATGCATCATCTATCACCCGTCTTTTGGACCCGCATGAGCAAAAATCTATCTACTCCCAGCAGACTCGGAAGTAAAAAGTCCTGTATTTTTACATTTGCCAACATTTCTTAGCGAGACAAAACGGATATACCTTTTATCTAAATATATGACAGGCCTTTTTTCAACAGTGCAGTTGTTTCGTATTTTTTGCTCTCCGTCAATATTTTTTAGAGAGACATCTTTTGAATTGAAACCCACTACTATACAATAGCACTTTCCTCAAAATTAATATCTTTCTGCACCACTGCACGCAATATACTATGGGTAGGCAGTTCTTTTTGTAGAACATAAATATTTTTTTTAAATTGCACAAAGATCGTATAAGACCTTAAGTATGTGTGAATGTGAATAGATGTGTGACGTATAATACACTCTGCATGTGAAAGTGTAGCTGAGTTGTTGTTGCGCTGTGTCTGTGTTAAGGTGCGCTTACACGAGGGCAATAATGTGGGACATGAAGGAGATGGAGAATAATGGAGCAATTTCAAAAATGAATAAATTATTTCGGGATATTTTCTAATTTCCAGATATTTCATATCGCTCAAGTCGCAGATAGGATTGACGAATATCCAATGATTGAAATTCCTAAATTTTTGTATATGTCTCATTGATGTTGTTGGTAAAGAGGTCTAAATAATAATTATTTCTAATTACTTAATTCAAAAGTAATTCAAAGTTGTTGTGACATTTAGTAAAGTTTTTAATAATATATATCTTTACATAATGAAAATTTTTCTATTTGCCAAAAAGATCACAAATAGCTATCTTTCTTTATGTGTATTAAGTATTATATAATGAGTAGAGTGAAATTCTTATTATATATAATAAAATAAAAATTGGGCCTTTAGTTTTGGAACCTCTGAGTCGTGTCAAAATATATAGGGCTAGTCCTCTGTAGAAACCAAATGCCGGCACCACGGCAACAATAGTATTTGTGGGATGTTTTAGATGTTATTGATGTGGTACAGATTAATTAGCGGGTTACCATGACAACGAATCAACAACAATTTTGTACATTTTAAAATACACCAAGTCAACTCCATTTTAATAGCCTTACACAAAAATCGTATTATCGAAAGTCAGTCTGTTACTGTCAGATTTTCCAATTCTCAATTCCGACGCGCCCTGTCAGAGGCAGTCTCGTTAGCGCTTATCAAATCTGTTGCCACAGAATAATATAATCAGTAGGTAATGCCTGGAAATAGTTTAACGTAGGATCATAATTATGCTGAAATCATTCGCTTTCTGGATTTCTATACAATATTTAATCTACTGATTATTTTTTACAAAAACTATTTGAGAGATTTTGATGACCATATTGAAGATTTTACTCGTATCTTTAGAAAGAAAGAAAGATATAGTAGAGCTTTTCCTACTGTTAATTCAATCTGTGGCATCGCGATGGTGTTGCGGAAGCCCGGTTTGATGTAGCGAAATCACGCATAAGTTTTACGGTTCTTTAAACCAGACCGTGAAATTTTTACACCAATATTGATATTCACATGTGTACCTACTTTTTTTTAAAGTTCTTCGTCAAATATAATGTTGCTAATTTCTAAAAAGAAACAGCGATAGAATAGGATTAAAAAGTTATATTAATACAATTACTCTAAATTAACATTTACTGACATTAATAAGATCAAGGGTGTAGAACGGACAAGAAGAACTGACAAGTAAGTAGTCCACGTAACTGAATAAAACGTATTATTGTATTAATTAAAAGTAAATTTAATTATTATTTCATTAAAACAATCGTTAAACGTTACTATTTAGTACAAATTGATTTTGTCAACTTGTATAAATGAAATACCATTTTTTTAAAGTTGTATCTTATTTGGTTTAAAGATGTATCCAATTTTCTTTAAAAAACATACTTCCACCTGATAGAATACGTGGTATGAGATTGACATTTGACGTTTTCTATTAAAATATCGGAAGTACAGATTGATAATAAATTACCTTAAAGAACGTGTAAACCTTTCTAGTACTAAAACTATCGACATCACTTTAACATTATGTAGTCCTAGTACCATTCTAAAAACATTTTGTAATAATAAACACACGAATTCAAGCATTAAAAAAATAATGTTTTTATTGGGAAAAGCTCTTCAGCATTAATAAGCAGCAATTGTCGATAATTCAAGTAGTCATTTTCGTCCGTGTATCAAAACAAAAATAATTGAAGGCATTGTGACGTAACCACTATGCCTTAAAGTTAGTCTTATGTATGAGTGTGAATCTGTGCCAGGCACAGATGGTTTATCACCTACATGGCATAGTATTTAGATTATACATATATTACCCCTTAACAGATTAGTATGAATAAGTTTTAGGCTTAGGGTTGATCTCCCCACTTTTTTTTTCCTTTATGGCTCTGGTACTGTTTGTGCATTAGCCAGCGTCAAGTATAAGATTTTTATAATTCGTGCTTGCCTTAGAAATTCGAACGTGTCCTCCATGTACGGTTTAAGCACTCGCCCGGTACCGCACAACCCTCCCAAAGGCCGAGAACAAATTTAAATTAAATTAAAACTTGCCCTCGAACCGGGAATCGAACCCGGTACCCCTCACCTAGCTGCCACTTAATAAGACCGCTAGGCTATGAGGCCCCTATTTCCCCACTTAATCAAAAACGAATTCTCGTTTCAATCTGCTAAGTTTAAACACATTCAGAATTTTTATTGAAAAAGGTTAAACGTTCAATAAAATATACCCTAGTTGATGTAACGTCGAAACTATAAATAAATTTTAAATTCAACAATAAACAAAACGAACGGGTTTTGACGGCAATTGTTTTGCATTGTTTGCTTTAAATATTTTGAATAATTTATTCCGATATTATTTTAACTTCAGTAAGTGGAATATTGACAACAAATCGGATTAGCGCTGCCCTCGTTAGACAAGCGAATGTATTAGTTGACTATCGTACTAATTTAATTAAAATTAAAAAGGGTTTGATGTTTCTCCTTCACGCGCTACTGATTTTGATTAAATTCTCGATAGAACACTACTAGAACATCACATTCTCGAACACTCAAACTTTTGTTTTCTAATTGAAAGCGCACATGAAGTTGCATGGATAATGAAAAACTGCCACGCTTTTGACTGGTTATTAAGGTTTTAATTTGGTACTATTGAGTGATCACGCTTACCTGCAGTTAGGCATGTTTTTAACGGTTATTAGTCTTCTTGATGACCGTCACATGACATTACCGAAAAAGTATAAGTAGTATAGTAAATGTATGAGTAGTGTTGGCCCAGTGGCTTCAGCGTGCGATTCTCATCCATGAGCTCGTAGGTTTGATCCCCTGTGCACTAATGGACTTTCTGTTTATGTACGCATTTAGCATTCTCTCGAACGGTGAAGGAAAACTCGTGAGGAAACCGGCTTGTCCTAAAGACCCAAAAAACCTATTAGATTGATAATTGACCACGAAACAGATACAAAAATCTGAGGCCCAGACCTAAAAAATGGTTGTATCGCCACTGATTTTTTTTATATAGTATAAGAGCTATAATTTTTTTACTTGTGATGAGATTGACTTGCGTGCCTGAGTTTATTCAAATCAGGTTTTATCGGGTTTTAATGATCATTTCTAAGACGTCATGTTTTATATAATTAAATGTTGACAAGAGATGTTTTGACAATTGACAGATCATAGGAACGAGAGATAAGGCCTTACTACCGAGGTAATTTACTACTTTTTTATAGAACAAAACGAATGGGCAGGAGACTCAACTGATGTTAAGTGATACCGTCGCCCAGTGACTCTCTCAATGCCAGAGCGCTCGCGAGTGCGTTGCCAGTCTTTTAAGAATTGGTACTTTTTATCTTAAAGGACCCTAAGTCGAATTGGTTCGGAAATACTTCAGTGGGCAGCTTGTTACACATAGTGATGGTGCGCGACAAAAATTCCCTTAAAAAACGCTCAGTTGTGGAACGACGGATGTCGAGGTGATACGGGTGGAATTTCGTATTCTGCCTCGACGTCGGATGATGAAACTCAGCTACAAGTATTAATCCGAACAACGCTTCTGAACACTTTCCATAGTAGCCATTGTTATCCGAGATACACAGACGAGCAATCTAATTATACTTTATGTACTCCGCTACAAAATTAAATAAACCGCCACAATTTAATTAAGTTCTTATTATTTGCACTAAATCGTTTAGTATCGATATACCCATCAGTTTAGTGACAGGCGCAAGTGGAACTGCACTTTTGTAATCTTGTTACTGAACTATCAGCCTTACACGGATGTAATAAAGCATATTTCACCCTACACTACCTTAAGCCATTTACACACGGCCCACATCGCTTAGTGAACATTTATTAAACGACCTACTGAGGGAAAATATCTTAATAGAGGAAAATCTTGCCATGTATTCTGAGCTTAACTTAGATAAGCCTTAATTAAGGCTCGTATTACGGGGTATCGTTTAGTAAAAAGGTGGTTTCTTAATAGTTGCATATAAGGTGTGCATTCGACATTTGAAAAATACATTCTTCTTGCCCCAAAGCAGAACACTTGAATCGAACCCACAAACCCTAAACATTATGACAGAGGCCGCCGCGCTTTTACAATATTTATGTACCTACTAAAAAGAGTGGCTCTGGATTTATTACCAGTTCTTCTCTTCCGTTCTACGCCCTTGATTTGATAACTGGCAGTAAATGTAAAATTAGAAGCATTTAGCATTTAATATGTATTTCTTTTTGATGTTCATAAGTGTACATTGTGTTACCTAAATGAATAAATGATTTTGATTTGATTTGATTCTGACGTAGCATAACGCCCTTTTTTGTTTTCCAAATTGATATGTGAACTTATTAAAAGCATTATTTATTGCTAAAGTAACAAACTTCTAATTAACTGTGCATATATACTAGCGAAGAACAAAAACAGCCAACACTAAATCATAATTTTGTCGTACTGCTTTTGTTATGCAAGTAAATTCACACCCCGTAATCAAGTACAAAAACCACAACTATTAAATTAGTTTCAGCAAAGTTTTTAATCAGTGCAGAGCGCGCAAAACGGCAGCTCCACTCATTAATATGCA